GATGATGATGATGATGATGATGATGATGATGATGATGATGATGATGATGATGACGATGATGATGATAATGATGATATGCCCTGAAAAGTGTGCTTGTTTGGCACGCTGAGTCTCTCAAGATGTAAATGAGAGAAATTAGATGATTAGTGGAGGTAACTTTTTATGTACAACCAAGCCTCTTTCCTTACAAAAGAATATCAAACATTCTCACACCAACTCCTTACATACTCAATAACAGTGCTTGCCAACCAAGGCGATATTACCCGCCAGCGGGCCATTTGGTCATTTTGGGGGGGAAGTGGGAATGACCGGGTCGCGACAGCTGATTTCTATCGGAAATTCATGAAGGTGGGCAGTACAAAGATGTTTGAGTCCCAATCCTAACTCTTGAACTTCGGGTTATTTTCCACGTTTTGACAGACTTTTTTTCCAGATTTCATGAAACGCGTAACGGGGTATCCACGCAAAACATTAATAGGGCTAAAATTGAGTCATAGTGAAAGGAGAAGCAGTTTATACATTTAGCTAACACTTCCCAGTCAAAATAAATCTATTAGGATTCAGAAAAGATTGCATTAGCACTCTGTGATTTGACTGGATGCTGGGACTGTCCACTCAGGGACTGGCCGAGTTTCACTGGACGCTCCCATTGTCCACTCAGGGACTGGTCGAGTTTCACTGGACGCTCCCATTGTCCACTCAGGGCTATAGGGTCAAAGGTGACAAAAGTGGGCTCCGATTTTTGAAAAGTTCACCAGCACTGCTTTAACCCTTTCAACCCGTTAGGCCTTTTACCGGCCTGGGCAATATTTTGCTATATACCATAAGGCCCATTCACCGGGGCACGGATTACCCTTAGTAGTGTAGTTCATCAAAAGTACTCTCTTTATTTCTTGTTCGTTGTCTTACAATATTTCCACCTTGGAATAAAGTAAACAAGGGAGGGAACACATGTGTTTATTTCTCCATGTTCTTCCCCTCAGCCTTTCTTTGTTTTTTGTTTTTGTAAAGTGTTTTACGGCGCTCGCAACTGCATAAGGTCATATGAGCGCGCGGGACACACCTAACATTTTCGGTTGGTAGGAAATTTTGAATTTTGCCCGGGTGGCGGCCGAAGCCTACTCTTATCGATTTTAGACCACAAAGGGATCTTTAACGTGCGCAACTTGCACACGGGCCCTCCGAGATTTTTCGCCCTTGTCCGAGAAGGCTAGGTGCAGATCTTTCCTACCAGAAGATCAGGGGTGTGGCAGAAAGACAGCAGTAAGGAGGAGCCAAGGAGTAGCAGTAGAAAGGCTGCAGAAAGAGTCAGGAGCCCAGAGGAGGGGGCAAAGGAGGTGAGGGGGTGGGGGCAGAAAAGTGGACATGAAATCAGTCTTTTTGTGTACGTGAACTTGTGAAATTTGCAAGAAATGTCCAGGGACAGAGATTTGAGAAATTTCAAGATTTCGGGATCAAAGGGTTAAGACAAAAGCAGATAAAAGAACAGTGACTTACCGTTGGTGAGTGTGAGCTGCTGAGTGCGAGAGGCCAAATCGGCGTCTCCTTGACCCCCCAGTAACATCTGGTTCATGCGCTCCAAGTTCGCCCGCCCTTCCTCGTTCAAGTACGCAAACCCATCCTCATTTTGGAAGTATCCTGACAAAGACAGAACACAGCTGATTTCAGGATCGCTGTTTTCTTTTTCTCTTGAAAGATAACAGTACATCTTAGAGGTAAAAGAATATCTGTTATTTGAAAAATAAACTCTAATCCATCTTTGCTGGGGTTCATAACATTTTTCTTTTTAACTAAACAGGCAAAGCTGTATCATGCATATTGTTTTAAGATCGTCTGTCAAGATGCAACAGGCCATAATTATACAGAAAACCCCCCCCACAAGGATGAAATGGAAAGTGTCCGTTAATACAGGTGGCTGTCATGGGCGATTTAACTGTAAATACAATGGGAACTGTCCAAGATGGCCACCCTCTATCGAGGAAAAAAGCAGCTGCCTTACACAAGTGTCATTATAATGTAAAAAATACACAAGAGAGGAAATAGGAACTGGCTATTCGTACAGGTGACTGTCTTATACAGGTGGCCGTTACAGTAGGTTCGTTTCGAGTGTGTCTTGAATATAGTTAACTGACTGATTCAGCCTGCAGATAATTTTGATTCCGGACCCAAATAATTTGTGACCGCTTCGTGACCTCATGGGTTGTTTCACAAATAATTAATAAAGAAATATCTAAATATGTGAGGCAGCGTGGTGAAATCAGGCTCTCGTCAATTTTTGGGCATGTAGAGTTATTGGTATCATCTTAAAGCTTGTTCACTTGTCTTTATTTGGATTTTAAAAGTATCCATTTATCTTGAATACAAGTCGAGATATTTACGAAAGAAGGAGATGAGGGTCAGCTGTTTTCAGACGAAAAATTAGTGAGAAAATGACCGCCAAAAGTTAGTTATTTCCTTAGCTTAAGAGTCCGTGGTAACCGAAAATTTACATTTTCTGTGCCTTTAATTAACGTTTTTCAGAAAAATCCACACAGAAATGAGTTCTTTATTGGGCATAAAAGGTGTTGAGCCAAAAATCAAAAATTTAATAAAAATTAACAAACCTGCGGAATAATGCAAATTTCTTCATTTTTATTATTTTGACAAAAGCCTGATTCCACCATGCTGCCTCACATTTGAGAAAACCCTATGTGTGGCATATAGAAATGTTCAGAATATAAAATACTATTCAATGGCACCAGCAAAGAGGGTTGAAATGTAAGTGGTAAGGAAAAAAGAAGAGAGAAAAGTTATGTGGAGAAAGGAAGCAATAGATAAGAGTCGCTCTGAGCGTCCAAACAAGGAGAGAACAGTTAGCCGCTGTGAGTGGTGCTGCGGGCTGAATCAGTTAACTCTTTAAACCCCATCGGATGCTGGTAGCGCCTGGCGGTAATAACCCTGTTCCCCATAGGATGCTGGGAGCGTCCGATATCAGTGACAACTGTTTCGTTTCATTTAGTCCTTAATTTTGCTTGTTTTTCGGAACTATTCCTGAACCAAGTTCATTAGTAATGACTCAGGGGTTGTTTCTTCCATTTAGAAGTTAGAGGCAAGCTTTAGGGGGTTATAATGAGACATAGTGTGCCAGGTTTAGGCGACTGTAGAAAAAAATGCCGGGAAACGGAGGAAACAACTCAGGGTCTAAAGAGTTAAGATGCTCACCGTCACCAACTCCATCTCCTTCTGCATCCTGAAACTCGTCGTCTGAGAGCTGGCAGTCGCTGTCTGGGTGGAGGGTCTGGCAGTGGGCCAGGGCGGAAAACATGGTCTCCACTACACACAGAGAGAGACATCAGAGGCGGGAGATATAAGAAACCAAAAATACGTAGTAGTAGTAGTATAGGGTTTTACGACGCTCGCAACTGCGTAAGGTCATATGAGCGTGCGTAACACAAGTTGTTTACTTTCGCAAAAGTTCACTGCACGATTGGTTAACTATTAGACTTTAAAATGCTAAAATATTAAAATTCGGCGCAAATATATTTTCAATTTAAAACAACTCTTATAAGTAACAATAAAAAATTTTTACAATATAGTTTCGCTTTACAATTTGCAATAAAAGCCAATGGCCTTCATAAAATTCAAAATATTGCTGGGACCAACGACGTAAAAAATGTCTTGCAATTTCTTGCATTTATAATATTTCCTTCGGATCTCTCCAAAGTCTAGACATTCGGTTAAGATATGGTAAAATCTGTGAAATTTTTTTTTTTTAAATTAGACGCATAAAACACAGCAATCATGAAAGAAGAAAAAGGCCTATCGTTAACTTGATTTTAGGACAGCGGTGTTCTAAGAGGAAGAAAAAAACACACAACTAGAACCTCTCTTACGAAGTTATCTAAACACCATAAAGCGAGCAAATCAAGTAATTTTTCTCCTCTGATCAACCTTAAAAGTGGCTAAAAGAGCTATTACTTATCCAGAGAGACAGTGGAACATCATCTGTTCTTCTGTAGAAAACTAACTGATTTAAGGGGATGTTTTCTTCCCAAGCTACCCCACACATCTAACTGCCTCTACTCCTCAAGACAACAATTAGAACAGACATGCAGCTATTACAGAAAGGCATCATGCAGAAGAGTTAACGCTCAGATGCTACTGGATCGCTAACAACAAGAACAACATCCAGAGAGCAACTTCTGAACATTTCAATGTCCTTATGATATTCATTACTCCAGCATTCAATCAAAATTTGCATACATCTGTTTTCTTAACAGAGCTTAGCAAAGACTCATGCCCAAAATCTGATTGTCGACAATGTGATTTTTCTTTACACAAATATGTGAGGCAGCGTGGAGGAATCAGGCTCTCGTCAATTTTTGGACATGTAGAGTTATTGGTATCATCTTAAAGCTTGTTCACTTGTCTTTATTTTGTTGAAAAAAATATCCATTTATCTTAAATACAAGTCGAGATATTTGTGAATGAAGGAGGTGGGGGTCACCTGTTTTCAGAGGTAAAATTAGTGAGAAAATGGCAGCCAAAGATTAGTTATTTCCTTGACTTAAGAGTCCGTGGTAACTGAAAATTTACTATTTTTTTTTAGCCTTTAATTAACGTTTTAAAGAAAAATCCACACAGAAACGAGTTCTTTAATGGGCATGAAAGGTGCTAAGCCAAAAAACAAAATTTTGATAAAAATTCACAAACCTGCAGAAAAATACAAGTTTCTTCACTTCGATTAATTTGACGAGAGCCTGATTCCACCACGCTGCCTCACATATCTCTTAAAAATTATTCGCTCCAGCAACTAAAAAGGACTCAAAAGCAACAAATACTTACGGGATCCACTGTTCTCTGGGGCAAACCGGAGCTCGGTCAGGGAGACGTCAGAGCCCCCATCTTCATCTTCCCCGGACTCCGCTCCTGAGTCTTGATCAGCATCTGTGAGGGGAAAAAAGACAAGAGCAGAGACCAACTTTACTTGAAAGCTTGTGGGAGGGGGGGGGGGGGGGGAGAAAGGTCACCAAAAATTACGTAAAGACACATCAGATCACAAAATGATAGACCTCTTGGACTTATATTTTTCATGAAATTCAAGGACACTAAAAAAAACCCAACAACCTCAGAACGAAACATCACTCCTCTTGTGATGTCCTCTTCATTAGGTGCTGTCTTTGTCATTATAGGAAAAACAGAAGAAATTTAGAATTTTCAAATGTTTTTTACATTTTATTTTCTGACATACGCAATTCACTACAGGTCTGCTCACCCCCCAGTTATCTTTTCTTAGTCAACAAATAAAAGAATAGCAACCTGGATTAAAAAATCGTAATACAGCCAAGGACAGGTTTTTTTTTTTCATGCCTTGTCAAGGACAGGGGTTGTAGTCAAGAATAAACGTAATATAAACAAAGGGGTGATGAAAAAATGTCTTGGTGGGCTTGTCCTAGTCAAGTTCAGAAAAGAAAAGAGGGGTGGGGGGGGGGGGGGGGGGGGCAGCAGTTATTGCTCGCAAAAATAAAAAAAGACACTTTAGGTACTAAAGAATACAGTCATAAGTCTTTGATCCTGATTTTGCAACACAACACACCATGCCACGAACCCACCATAGCTAATTGTTCAAGTTTCAAACAATGAACCACTTTTAACAAATTCTCTTCTTGGCCTAGGCTATAAACCACACCACAAAAGGGCAAGAATTTTGTAACATCCTGTCAATCTAATGTTTGCCTTACTCCTGGATTCGGCACTTCTAAAGTCTAATGTTTTTCTAAGGGCAAAGTGGCACTGAGCGACTTCAAGGGCTCAATGCGAAGAGGATGTTAAAGTTAAACAACTGCATGCGACGTAGTGACATAGGGTCTGGCAGTTTTTCTCCCCTTATATATACTATACACCGGGAAGGTTGACAGTCGGTTGAGGTAGCCGATATTTTAAAAAAAATCAGAATCAGGGGTATTAATAGTATTATTATGATCGTATATTTTTCGGAAAATTGAACAAAAATCACAATGATTCCGCCATATTCGTAATAATGGGCAGTCCGGATAATGATATCAATAATACATTATATTCACGATACAGGTTAAAATTCCCTTGAATTTTCAACAGGCTTATTAAATGTCATTGCTTTAAGAACCGAAAAGAAGTAGAAGCAGATCAGAATGACCATCAACCAGTGACAAACTATTACATTCTCCACACTCAGGAAAAGCAAGCAGTCCCAATACTCCTTCCTACCAGAGCACAAGACCATGTGATTCGCCTTTGGTCTCCACTGGGCTGAACAAATGGAGCGAAAATCGAGACTTTAAAAAAAATAAGATAAAGCTAAAAATGATAAATTCTTACTTGGGAGCTTAGCATCATAATGCAAGAGCAGATGTTCTTTGGGAAAGGCATGGAGATCACGAGATATTGCGTGCAAGGAAATAAGTTTGTACTCCAGTTGAATGCCTTCTTGACCTTGATTCAGCCACAGCACAAAACTGAAACCAAAAGAGGAAAACACTGTGATTAACAGAGCAACAGTTGTGGCAGAAACGGCACACATTAACATATAACTCAATGATTACAGATACACAGATACACTACGTACATGTAATCAAGAGAGATTGAAGTCTGCTGTTTCTTAACATTATATCCGCTAATGCCGCCATGTTATGAGTCGATACTTATTATATATTGTAGAATACCAATTTATTTGTCAGGCATGCTTTATTATTCCTTGGTATCAATCTCAGACTGCTCTCTAATTATGCTTTACTAATTAATCTATTTCAAGGCCTGATTACCTAAAATTTAAAAGATGCTAATTAGGTCAGGAGGGCACTAATTAAATCTACTATGATCATGATCAAGATTCATGTGAGGTAAGTTTGTGTTGACTTGTCATTGACTCAAAATTACAGTCTTCACAAAAAGTTAAGGACCACTTACAAAAGTGCACTTAAAATAAAAACCAGGAAATCAAATTATGCCTTCTTTGACAAACATTTAATTCATCAATCCATAAGTGCAAAAAAGAAATTTCGTACAATCGAGACCGAAATGCGTAATTCCCAGCGCTTAAAAGGGACCCACTATCAAAATCGAAAATCATAAAAGAAAGGGTCTCAAAAAGTCTCAGCAATATCAAAGAAAAAGACCAGTTCAAGTTCGTGAATGTCAATGGAATTGTCGGAAATGCGTGTGCCCACCATTCCCGGCAAGGCAATCAAGGCATTCTGACAGGGCAGCGGTATCTGCAGGAGATCTTTCGACCTCTGGTCGTCACGGCGCTGCAGCACATTGGGCTTGCTGCTGTCCTTCAGGACGACAACGCCACGCTGCACAGGTCCAAGGCGTCAACGCCTTCATGCTGCAAGCCAGGATTACCCGCATGGTTTGGCCAGCCAACAGTCCAGACCTCAATCCTATTGAACAGTTGTAGGCTGAGTTTGAAGGGAGAGTTTGGGAGAACTACCCTTTGCCCACCAGCAGCTGCTTGGATGGCTGTAACAAAAATGGAACAACATTCCCCATGCCTTTCTTTTGTCATTTTCAATTTTGAGGGTGGGTCCCTTTTGAGCACTGGGAATCATGTCATCCATTTTGGTTTCGATTGTGACGAAGTTTCTTTGTTGCACTCATGGATTGATGAATTAAATGTATGTTAAAGAATGAATGATTTGATTTGCTGGTTTTCTTAATTTTATTTTTCGTGCACTTTTACAAGTGTTCCTTAACTTTCGCGAAGACTGTATATATACACAGTATCACAGATATAGGTCAAACACAGAAGACTCGAATTCATGCATCCGTCGAAGTGTGCCTGCAGTCCCGTTTTTTTCTTCTTCTTTGTAAGATCCCTCGAACTACTGAGGCTGGTCCTGACGAATGTGAGCTATCCATGTTATGCTATACATCATCATTTGTCTTTCAAATTTGGCAGCAAAACTAGCGCACACACTAGCCTATAACCTCATACCAGTGATATAAAAAAGAGGTCCAAAAAAAAACCTCCACATTAAAAGCCATACAAAAAGGTTCGGGCCTAACTACAGGGAAGTTTTTGTAGCCTACTATTAGTAATAGGTCCTAGTCCTATCCATTGAATGGAAAAGAACAAAATCCTCCACCCCCCCAAAAGTCCTTAAACATGACTTTTACTTTACTTTACTTTTCCGATCCAGTGGCCATTTGGGTTCTAGCCCTTCGGTCTGTCGATATGGCAAAGAATTGACAGGTTTTAATCAGCTGTGCTTTGTCGCCAAAGCCTTAAACATGACAAGCACAGCTCTGTGATTGGCCCAAATATAGATCACTTATTTCCGCCATCTATTTTTGTCGTCTTCTGGGGTTTCCCTTGAGAGTTGAATAGATTTATCACCCTTTATTATTTTTATTCATCAGAAACTTTTGTACTACTGTCTCTTCTTTTTGTTCAATCATTATCCTATTCTGCAACCCTGTAACATGATTGTCATTTTTCATCTTCAATTGGTTATATAACTTCAAAGATTCTCTGAGGTGGAAAATCTTTGATAGCATTACACTCAACCAATGTTTTTTTGTCTCATCCCTCATACTCATGATATCAGAGTTTATCAGTATACCTGAAACATGATGATAAATTCATCTCTATAATTATTTATACAGAATTAAATCATAGACGAATTGAGCCGTGTACAACACGCTGCACTTTTCTACTTTTAGTAACTTTGTCACTGTCATTCTGAAGAATAAAAATTAAAGAAGGGCGATAGATTCTAGAGATCCAATCTTGATAACTGGCGAGGGAAACCCCGGAAGATAAATAATAATATAATAATAATTGCATTTATATAGCGCAAATCCACGCTCAAGAGCATGCTCTATGTGCTTTACAACTACTATTATTATCCCAGCAGACCCTCTGAGAACACTCAGAAACATTCTCGGCTTCCGAGGAAGCATACAGTGCAAGCTGCGGATTTCACGCGCTCAAACACTATCAAACTGACAAGATCGTTCACTGTCTATAGCCGGGTACCCATTTCCATCTGGGTGAAGTGAACAAAATTTGTGCAAAGTGCCTTTCCCAAGGACAAAATGTCGGGCCCCTGACAGGATTCAAACCCACGACCTTACGGTGGCGAGTCCGAAAGCCTAACCACTAGGCCACCAAAGCCACAGAGACAGAGAGAGAGATCAGAGAGAGATCAGAGAGAGAGAGAGAGAGAGAGAGAGAGAGAGAGAGAGAGAGAGAGAGAGAGAGACAGAGACAGAGACAGAGACAGAGACACAGAGAGAGAGAGAAGACAAAAATCGTGAAGACCAAATAGGCAACACAAAGAACAGGGATGCAACCTAACTGCAAAACATCAAATTATGATAAAATAAAAATTCAACACCCCCCCCCCCCCCTCCATATTTTTATTAGATCTGAAACCACCCTACTCTTGACTCTTGGGGCCTAACATGAGAGAACGTCAACATGACCTTTGCGCATGCGTTAAGCGCTCTCAGTGAAGTGTCATTATAGCTCTAGGTCAGTGGCCAGAGAATAAAGATGGTTGATGTCGACAATGCTAAAGCCTTGCACGCCTAATCGACATGCGACTACACAGGGGGCGTAAAGAGGGCAGCGATTGGTCGAAGCTTCGACCCATTAAAACATTAAGTACCGTGAGCATACTCTGGGAATTCCCGGTTTCGCTCTCACGCCTTTGACCGTCTTCTCACAGTAGGTTTGGAGCGTTCATAGAAGAAGAAAAAGAAGAAGAACTGTAAGAAGAAGCAGGAAGAGCATAGGAAGAGGAGGAGGAGGAGAACAAGAAGAATAAGTTTGGGGCCCAAACTGGCCAATGATAATTGGGGGGTGGAAACTGCCAAAAAAGCGCCATTTTTTGCTTGAATTTTAATTTTCTAGCTTTCGTGCTTCCTTCCAGTCTAAGCCTAGTTCACTCCTCAACGATTACCTGGCAATTCAGGGTCTGGTGTTCAGCTTTGGCTTTGGACTTTAATGAACGAAACTACAAAATCACCAAACTTTTAACAGAGCTAGCTAGCATCGTCTTAGCCTAGAAAGTATGAACTTGGCTGTTTGTTGGACTGTCAGTGGCATTGGCCTTGCCTTACGCTTACTCACTTACTTACTGAAATCTGACACTGAATGAGAATGTAAGAACGAACAAAAGGCCTATTATTTATCAATAAAATGTTAAAATTCTAATGACGGAAGGACTTCCGTAACGAGCGACCACCCCATCAAACACAATAAAGAAGAGGCCTAACCCTAAGAAGCCTACCCCTCCAACCCCACATGCCGTTAAACGTAGAAATGACGCATCTTTCTGATTGGCTGCTAATTTTAGTAATGTGATGTCATCACTTCCTGGGATACTCACATGGAACGGCGTGTTTTCGGTAACATTTCTCTAGAATCTAGATCTAGATTCTAGATTAGATCTAGATCTAGATTCTAGATCTAGATCTAGTAGGCCTACCTGGACATGATGGAAGACCGCACGAAAATTGCCGTAAAGACGCAGGAGGACTAGATATATATCTAGATCTAGATATTTAAATTTAGATCTACCAACCCCCCCCCCCCCCTCCTGCATTTTTAATCACTAATACATTTTTAAAAATAAACAACAACTTCAAAGCATCTCTACAAATTAGGGCTATAATTTATGGAACTGTTGGTCAGTCGGGAGGAGGAAAAAAGAAAAAAAACAACTGTCCGGGACCGGAATCGAACCGCTCCAAAAGTCATTGCTCGACATCAAACGCAGACGCGCTATCAAATCAGCTATCAGTATCAGAACTTCCGAGAGAAAGGTGTAGATTAAGCATAATATACATAGACACTTCCATCTTTGGTGCCATGCGGTTGTCTATACTTAGATGTAGTCACGTGATCGGAGGGGTATCCTGGTCTGACGTCAAACAAGATGGGCGCCTTACCTAAAAATAGTTTGCATCATTTCTACTTTTAATCGGGAAGTGGCTATTCTCATCCGGGGTGAGAATAGAATTACGATCGACCTCTCACCCCGGGTGAGACTTGCGACCGTAGGCTATTCTCACCCGGTTTGAAACAAGACCTGTTTTTCCTAATTTCGGAATACTTTCTATCGATGTGGATGATCAAATTGATAAAAGCCAAGAAAAAATTACGTTATAGCACAAAAGTAAGCTAATTTGATCGTCTTCAAAGACGCTATGGCTATTTCACTGTTCGAATCGAGCCGAACTACGCGGTTCGCCATTTTGTTTTGCCCGCAAGTTTTCGCAAGATCTACTCCTCCCCTCTCTCTCTGTCTCTTTCTGAATAAAATTGACCAAAACAAAGTTAAAAATGATGTTAAAACACAAAAGTAAATTAATTTGGTTGTCTACAACAAAGATGCTACGGCTATTTAACTTTTCGAATCGAGCCGAACTCTGCGGGTCGCCATTTTGTTTTGACCGGAAGTTCTCGCGCTACTTAACTCCTCTCTCTTTCTCTCTCCACTGCCCACAGACAAAATTGGGCGCTTTTTCGGTAGTTCCCACCCCGCAATTGTTATTCACGGGTTTTGCCCCCCTGACCTAAAAAAAAATAGGAAGGGGGGTCATGCCCCCCTGAATTTTACCACAATTTAATGTTTTGCTGTTGTTAGGTTTGATATCTTAGCTCACCGCGAATCAAACGTATAGATCTAGATCTAGATCTAGAAGTAGGTCAGGCTCAAATAAGGGGGGTGGGAACTACGCTTTTAGTAGGCTACAGTTGTAATGGAACGTTTGTTCACGGCACAGAATTCTACAATTTTTCTGTTATCACAGTGTAGAATTCTGTGGTTTAAGGTGAACGCAAAATTTGTTGGCCTAGATCTAGGCTATAACGGTGAACGCGCACCGGGTGAGAATAGCCAAAAGACTCGCCTGCACTGAGGTGGCCTTTAATCGCATGTTCCTACCCCTTGTCACTAGCTAGCCCTCAATTCTGCTCTGTCTCATAGTGGTAGCTGCCAAAATGATGATAGATCTAGATCTAGCAGTCTGCACAAAGTAAATAAACTAGATCTTAAATCTAGCTCTAGATTCTAGTCACAGTCACAGTGGCAGTCAGTGGTAGATCTACTGCTGGTTTACAATCAAATCACCTTTCCGTTATGTACAAAGTTCCTGAGCCAAGAGCAGAGCTTTCCACTGTGGCTTGGACATTTTCTTCAGTGTGCTGAATTCCCTCTAAAGGGATAGAGTAACTGGACAACTGAACCATTTTCGATTTTGTTCACAACACAATAAATATTGTAAGCGCAGAGATCTTGGTCTGAATCTGATTGAAATTCGTGCGTCTCACGTTTCTTGACCACTTCTAACAATAACAATAATTTGAAGTAACCTCCCCTGGCTGGGCTTTCACATCCGGTAGCATAATCTAAATACTGCAACAAACAAAAAAATACTCTCATTCTGTTCTGGAGCTGGGAACTTTAAAAAGATGCGACTCGAACTTTTTTGTTTAAGTGAAAAAAATGTACAGAAAAAATAACTGTCGGTAAGACTAGGAGATAATGAGGAGATGGTTTCTGTTTGACTAGGTTGAGGTGCTCTAAATGTGAGCTAAGGGCTAGGGGGGTGGAGGTATTGCGTGAATTGATTTTTTTTTAAAAACATAATGGGGCCGTTGCATGGGCCTATTATACGTTGAAACGGCAAGTGTTTTTTAAATTTTATTTTGTAGAAAAAAGGGCTAGCATCGTTAGGGGAATTTATGTCCACAAACAACAAGTGATTATGAAAATTGTGTTGACTTTTGACACTCAAAAAAGTGAACTGATCTGGTACCCCTCCTCCTTCCCGTCCCCTCTTATTAATTATTGTTACTTTTTATGTTACGTAACCCATATTTCTATACACACTTAGATAACATTTTGATGTGGCCTTTTTCATCTTCTCCTTGCTGCTTTTGTTTCAGTTAACATTAGACAAAAGCGTTGTTGTTTTAATAATGGCTCCCCATGTTTGTTTTTTTTCCAGCAGACTAAGCAATTATAATATAAGCTTAAAGGAGCATCGGGAGGAGGGGGG